CACACACACACACACACACACACACAAACACACACACACACAAATTATACGCACACTCAGGACCCCTACCCTCCAACACCCACCAAACTCATTCACGTCTATCCCAATCCCCTGCTCTTCTTTCCCCAGAGCCCTGTCTAGATGGTCTTGGCACACCTGTGTTGACCCCAATGTCCCGTAACACACATCGCTCAAGGTCCCACACATCCTTGGGACAACGCCACAGTCATGTAAATCACTACTGTCAGCCCCAATACCGAATTGTAAAAATGAATGCCCAGGTGTTTTTACCAGTTGTGAATACATGTGCCCGGTATGTGCTTCCTTACTTTACTTTAACCTCCGCCAATACTATGTCGTGAGGTGTCGCAGGGAAGTCGAGACGTCGGGAATTGGCAAACTGGAACTTCTCTTGCAGTGACTGCTTCTGTAAACTCCCATCAAAAGGAACATGTGTGGTTCCCCCACTTTCATAATAAGACACATATTCCTTTAAGACAATAGCAGTCTGGGATGGACGGAATATGGATGGTGATAAATTTAAACCTTGCAAGTAATTTGCCTTTTTGCGCTCACAATGCTGTGACATATGAATGACACTGGCTTGATCGCACTAGACATGTAGAGCCTTTATTTTGTTTTACACACTGAGGGTTCAGACTGGACGTTTACCATGATACATGTTATTCACATGGTCCCAAGTTATAAACATTACGGTACTATGAAAACAATATATTATGGTTTTTGTGCAGTAAAAAAAATCAAATGATAAGATAAAGCACTGTCTCAAACATCAACATAATCCAGTTAATGACGATAATGCAGTGGGCCTATCATCAGTATGTAGTATGCAGGTTTCATCTAGCAAGCAGAAATATGAAAAAATCATTAAAAAAATCAACCCCTATCTGTTTTAGAGCAACTCATAGATCTACATCAGCCGACGCGAGCTATAATACACGAACACATGGCCAGAATGTCTAGTTAAGAGCCCTTCTCTGCACATGTACTATGTGTGCTATAGAAACATAAACCTACTTACCTGGATAGTGTTGATGGTAGCCGTACGAGGACTTTTAAAGAAGACTTGAGGATTGCCTTGAAAAAAAAAAGACAAGGCCAGCCAGAACATTTCATTACGATACAGGCCTGGAAATCTGTCTTTTGTTGTTGTTATTGTTGTTTTTGTTGTTTTTCCGTTTTTATAAATTTATTTCGAAGTGCAAATGCAACGACGTTCGGACCACAAGAAAATACTTCTTCCTGGTAGAAAAGATCCTCACAGGCATAGCTGTGCACTCTGCGCGCGCAACGCAATTAATTATTATTCTACAAGCCTTGACTCTGGGCGCTGAAACCTGGGTTGAATCTCGATGTTCACTAAGCCTAGTAAGAGAAGTGGGCGTGGTTTAAAAGAGTACAGAAAAATAACAACAAAACAAAACAAAACTGTCCATCATCGGAGAATCGTTTCGTTTTTTCCGTGTCCACTTGCGAGTTGTTCTGTCGCCATAAACCGGGGAGGGGGGGGGGGGGGGAGTCTTAGGAGAGAATAAATCAAATGAAGGAATAAAAGTAGCGACATCTCAACTTGTATACGGCGTCGACGGATTACTTTTACACTGGCGTGTAGTCATTTCCTCCTTATATTTTATTATGAGTAGAGAGAAACGTTGCGAAGGAGCCATTGTGACTCAAAAAATAGAACAACCTGGGAGGGTAGAATAATAGCTGTGCAACAAAAATGACGGTAGAAGTCAAGAGTAAAAAGCAAGTTATGGTATTTTAGTTGAGAATTGTATTAATTATTTTGTTAGTTTGTTTGTGGTGTTTTTTTAAAGCACACAATTTGCATGTCCGACATTACACAACGGAGGGTGTTGCAGGAATTTCCCGCAATACACAATGTAATAGATCTATGCCATTCCATGTTCTCCAAGTTAATACATGATTTTAAGTCTTTTGTATGACTACTGAAGTGTTTCTGCGTTCATGGGTTAATAGTGAGAATACATTATGCCTTTGCAATTTGCACCTCTTTTGCGGGTGGTTGGAGGGCGCCACTGGTAGTAGTGGTGGGTTCTATTTATTTTCTTTCACAGTGTTATTGTTCCTGTCCGTCTACCTTACTTTTTCCTAAATGGTCGTAGTTGTGTCGATGTGCTTCTTTTCACTCGCACCTCTTTCCCAGACGTACTAGACCATGGTTAAGACCGTTTCCCCTCGAAAGACTGCAGTTACCAATAAACTTAACACAAAAACGAGGTGGTAGTTCTGAAGAAGCATAGTTACAGTAAAGTTGGATCTTTTCTGCAATATGAGACAGGTAGATCTCTGCCCCGCAAGGGGGTTGTATTTTTGAATTATGCACTTTTGTATGAATGATTGAGTTCAACAGTCAATGGTTTATAGATCGATTAAAGTGTAAGACTTGGGTAGTAGGCTAATATCTATCCAGACGATTATTCAGAATGTGTTGTAGATGGGTGTATTTGGTTTGAGGACAGTACAGGCTACGTTCTCCACTAAATTATGCACTCCCTTCTTCTGTTCATACTCTTCCCACCCAATCTATCTATCTATCTATCTATCTATCTATATATCTATCTATCTATCTATCTATCTATCTATTGCGTTCTCTCCCACGATGTCTGTCTGTCTGTCTGTCTGTCTGTCTGTCTGTCTGTCTGTCTGTCTGTCTGT